CCATCTCACAATTATCCACTGAGGAACGCAGAGTTGGATCTTTATCTGCCAATCCCGCGCTCAGAGTTAGTTAAAAGTTCAATACTTTATAATGCTAAAAAGATGCATAATCATCTACCGCCTAACATCAGGTCCATTGCATCTTTTCTCGAATTTCGCAGGGCGTTGAAGGTGTATTTACTGGGGAGAGCCTTGTACACAGTAAGCGAGTTGTTTATGGTTTCCTAATTTTGAGCAGCTTACTCACAGGTTTTGTTTTTGTTCCTGTATCATGATAGGTTATTATAAGTTATTGTTTGTTTGTTTTTTTAGTACCTATAATATGCTTACTCGCGCAGTATAAGCAGTTAGACCTAGATGTTTGTTTGTTAGTTTTAATCAAATTTTGACCATGAACTATTTGTTCAAGTGTTTGGTTTTGTCTGTGCTTTTGCATTTGTATGTTTTGTTTTTTATTTTTTCAGCTTTGTCCACAAAATTGTAAAATTTTCTGACAATAAAGCAAATTCTTTCTTTCTTTCTTTCTTTCTTTCTTTCTTAATAACAAAACGAATCAATTAATTAGGCACTAGCTGACATCACACACATAAGAGGTATTTTTTCGATCTGAAAAAACTGATCGAAGTTACTTGAGGTTTGTTTCAAATTATTGTCATCCGGTTTTACAACGATTTCATTGGCCCTAACTGTTTTTTGACGGCTCATAAATAAACCTTATGTGATCACAATCAGTTTGTTTAGATCGAAAGAATATCTTGTTCAGCTCACTTTCGACGAGGAGCCAAAAAAAGCCTTTAGGGACTATTTACACCCTTGCGCTAGCTATCACGTATTACGTCACAAATCACATAACGTCACTTTGATACGGGGATAAACATTTCGTTGGGTAAAAAAACGTAACTGTGCCGGACTTGTCTGAAATGTCAGAATAGGTAACAGCCATTTAAGAAATAGGTATCGTTTGTTTTTCCCAATGACATTTTTGTCCCCCTATCGAAAGGACGTTATATGATGATTTGTGACGTAATAGCTAGTGCCTGTGTGTTATAAATAGAACTTAAACGCTTTTTTTGTTTCCTGATCGAAAGTGAGATTATGTGTTTGACGTCAGCTAGTGCCTAATTGTTAGGAGTTACGTCCTTAATTTCAGGAAGCGTTATCGAAACAATTCTGTAATTTAAAGCTCGTGGAATGCACAAAACTCATTAATAATGTTAAACAAGAAGAGAGAGAAATGATAATGAGATTTTCACACGAAGGTAAAACTAACCATCGAGAAATAAAGGAAATCCCAAAACGCCTAAAAATTAACTATTATTCGAAATCCCTGAAATCTGAAGTCACTAAATTTATTAGTGTATGTGAAATCTGTCAAAGAACTAAATATAACAGAAATCCACCAGACTAACCCCTTGTATTGACAGAAACACCTTCAAAATCTTTCGAGATTCTTCACCTCGATCACTCCTTATAGATGAACAAAAATTCCTAGTAATTATAGATAAATTTTCCAAATATGCACAAGCCCTTCCTTGCGTTGGCACAGCCATATCAGTATCCTAAAATTTAATTCACTTCTTTTAATTTTTCGGTATCCCTAAATTGATTGTATCTGATATAACGGAACGGAATTCAAAAACGAAGTAGTTAAGGACCTATTAAAAACACATGATATTGAAGCCCAAATCATCACGAGTCGAATTTACCAGTTGAAAGAATAAATTCGATCCTGATAGAACACATAAGGATACTACGAGAAAAAAACAAAAACACTGACGTCAACCCTGATGTCCTATGCTGTAATTGCTTATAATAGCACAATCCCTTGAAGCAAAGAATTTGAAGTAAAGGCTTTACTCCCTATACATTGATTTTAGGATACATTTTTCTAGTGACCCTATACAACTTATGCCCGCGCAAATATTCACCGAATATGGCCATACCCACAAAACTAATACGGAAGCTTTATGTAACAAAATACAACAAGACTTAATTAATTTAAAACAAAAACTTATTGATAAACATAATCAGAACAGGTCCCCTCAAAAACTAACCATAGGGCATCAAATACATGGTGGGGCACGAAAAACTTCTCACCCATGTTTTCTCAGGTGTTAGCAAATCAATAGAAAATCGCTCGGACACGTCATTTTTTGTTTTTCAGGGGACATCTTTTATTTTGTATTTTCACCCCCTACCTATCAACCCCTAAGCGGGGATCGAGTGATACGTCATTTGATAGCAGTTTTAATCAAGATTAAATTCCCAAAGTTTCAAGTTGCTACTATTTACCCTGTCGAATTGACGGCTTGTCAAAGTTGTGTGTTTTTACCTCATAATAACAAAACAACAGATTTTTCAAGTGAATAAACACGAACCATTTTAAGCTGAACTGTTGAATGACAATACTTTAATTAAATACCAATGATGGTATTTCATAACTATAGATAGATACACTTAAAAAATCTGTTGTTTTGTTATTATCTGGTAAAAACCACACAGTTCAGATACTCGGAAAAAAGCATTTTTCCTAAGTGTGACAAGCCACCATTTCGGCAGGGTAAATGATAGCAACTTGAAACTTGGGGGATATAATCTTGATAAAAATATCTACCAAATGACTCGACCCCCCTATCCTATTAAAATTTTGGAGGTATCTGTCACCCCCGCTTAGAGGTTGACAGGTAGTGTGCAAAAATACCAAAAAAGTGTCCCCCCCCCCAAAAAAAAAATTGACGTGTCCGAGCGATTTTTGATTAAACACTTAACACCTGAGAAAACCTGGGTGGGAAGTTTTTCGTGCCCCACCCGGTATATAAAAACCAGGACAAACGACGTGGTAAATTACACCATAGATTCGCAGGTCCCTTCATCTTAACAAAAATATTGGAAATCAACGAGATTGAAATTGAAAACCCCGAAACAAATCGAAAAGAGATTTTGCATACCACCGAAACCAAAATCATCCATTGTTACAGATGGATCCGAATCTTCAACATCGAAGCAGTAGGAAACTTCCATAACCTGGATAAATATCCCGGACTCCTACCCTATAAATTGGGAACTGCCAAAATAGTTTCCCATCATTGGTCATTAATACAAATTCACGACCTAACAACCCTTGTTAACATGTTGATGGACAAAACGTAGACGTCTAATTTTCATCAATGTTATGTGACACAGCACCTATAGATGACATTTTAAAAATAACGAGTTGTGACACAACGACGGTAGACGTCGCGTCGGCTCTCACATATAAATACTACATGAACAAATTTATATTGTCACCACCCGCATAGAGAAATGTGGGTTACTGTCACCGTATTTTGAAATTTGGACGTTTGGAAGTAGGGGGGGAGGAGTAACGCATGTCTGGTGGACACGACGTCTTTAGACGTCCGGCTGCCATTAGTCAGACATTGTTGTATTTTTGTTGTGTCACAACGTGATCAACAAACTGGTGTACTGAATAACGTGTATACGGATATTTGCATATAAAAAGTAAATAGTTTTTATGTAACAATTTCTTGTGTACTTGAGATTCAAAAAACCTCAAACGAGTGTATTATTTCGTATAATTGTTGATAATTATTCTAGGATAAGTATTGAGGTTATGTACAAAAAATATTTGGCGCGCGTTTCGGAAATTGTCTGTCACCTCAACGTTATGTCACATTAAATTTACAGATACATACATGACACGACGTCCATGGTCGTCATCTAAATGTTTACAATTTGAAAAAAAAAAACTGCTTTTTGCATAAACTATATGCGCTGAAATAAATTCAGCACTTTCCCTAATCTAACTTTGCAAAATACATACAGTGTCACAACACTTGCTCACACAATCGACGCACTGTCCATCAACTAGTTAACGAATTTTATTTGATCCATGAAAGCGCTGTTTAATTGAAAACATTACAAATAATGTATCTTATGAACGAGAATATAAAACACGTTGCTGCCTTTAATAGCATTAGAGAAACGCATAGAAAACAAAATAAGACAAATTGACCCAGTGAGTAGTTACTCAAAAAGACAAAAAGGTGGCATCTTGAATCCTTTAGGATCTTTAATAAAATGCATTACTTGGAACCTTGATAAAGAGGATGCATATCTTTGTAATAGGCAAATTAGAGAATTACAAGAAAATCAAGATAAACTTAAAAAATCATCTGTCAACAAAATTAATTTTTTAGGGAAAACCATAGAACAGTTTCAAAACGTTATCTCTTATATATCTGCCAATCAAAAAACGCTGAAATCGTGAATACTGCAAATTGAGTTAACGCGTCACTCAATTTGCAGTATTCACGATTTCAACTGGAAACCAATATTGAAAACATATTGAATTTTGAAAAAATAATTGAGATTAAAGGTTATTCAAAGGGCCTGATTATCACCTTCATCTTGGAAATACCACTGGTCGAATCGGATGTCTATCACTATTATCAATTATTTTCGATACCAATTCCAAGCGAACAAAATCCTGATTTCTTTTTGAACTTTCCACACAAACCATTCCTTGCACTTAGCAATATCAAATACTCTTATATGGACCGGACCTGCAACCAGTTGTTACCCAATGAGCACTTATGCAGAGAAGCCCATATCGCGTATATTGACCATGAGCCTCCTGTGCAGTCCAATTGATTTTATAAAGAAAATGCCACTACTTGCCACCCTTTCCGTATCAGATTACAAAATGTCCAACTCACTAAAATAACGTGCGGAAAATGGATCTTCACTAGACCTGAACAACTAATTGTCTCAGCATCTTTACCGACTACAAAAAATATTCAACCCAATTTAGATCGTCTTAAACGTGCTCAAAAAGCCTCGTTAGTAGACGATATTGTAATTTAACAAATCTCACGTAGGTATATTAAAGAGTCATCTGCAAACAGCTAAATGTTAGATAGTGGTAAGTCAATATTGTAGAAAATTATTACTTAATAACAGCTCAAAATGTGAATAGAATTTTTGAGTGATTTTCTTACCTGGAATATTGTATCTCCTAATTTATCAGCTTGCTCGAAAAAATATTCTCCAACCCCTTTGTCAATTTTCGGAGCATGACAAGGCGGCCCTCTCAAAATAAAATCATTCGTTTTCGCCATTTTATATGATAGTGATATTAATCAATTAGTGAACATTTAGTCAAAATCGAATAGGTACTGAATGTCGATCATGAATATTAAATTAACTAGGTAATCAGTGGAACAAATAATAATTATGTGCGTGTTTTAAACACTATACATAGATAACTAGGTACTTATGAAAACAGAGATAATTCTTTTATTGTTACTTCATCAATTTTCGTAACATATAATGTGTGACAAAAAAAAAACGTATCACCCCATAGAAGTATAAATATTTGTTAACCAAATTCTGTGGATATGCTTGGGGTATTAAAAGTGAAATTTTATTTAATAAAAAATATACAAATAAAGTAACATTTAATCAATGATTGTTATTTTTTACACCATTAACATATGTAGAAATATTGTTAAAAAATATACACTTTTAATTGGTGATTCGTTTTTTTTGTCACATATTATACAGGGTGTTCATTTTAAAACCTACGACTCCTATTATCTCGGAGTTGAAAATTTTCGGAGAAATCCCTAGCACCCAGAGCCACCCCTTAGAAAATCTTAAATGGTAAGGGGGTCAAGTGATACATCATTTTGGAGGGTTTTTAGTTCTATACATTTTGGTACTAAATTTTAACCCCTTACTTCAACTGTTTTGGAAATATTGACAGGCTGTAAAACCTAAACGGTTAATTTTAGAGGAAAACCGATCTCACATTCTTGTCTTAGATTTTTATAAACTATCATTTGACAGCAACTTTGAATTGAATCCATGATCAAAAATTCCTGGTCAAAATTTAATCTTTGGTTAAATTCAAAGTTCGTGATATTATCAGAATTATGGTGTACGGTATTGTACGCTTGACTATTCATTTTTGATTGATAATAGAATAGTTGAAATGAGTTCAAATTAAATTGCATTGTTTGTCTAGTGAGTCTAGTGGTAGTGCAACGATGAGGAAAGTGCTGTAATCAGTTGGTATGTTGCTTTCCACGTTAAATAACGAGGATATATTGAATTGAAGAGATCTGTATTATTCCGCTAATAAAGGCTAAATTTGCCTACAGCCTGAACAATCAAAAATAAATTAGCATAAAATTAGCAAAAATATTCTCACTCATAGATATTCCCACCTCGCGATAAAACAGTTAGTCTTGCATTGCATTTAGTTAGAAACCTTTAAGAATGCAGTAGCCGCTGTCGACCTTCGTCCTGTCCCAGCAGAAATATCCATTTACTTTTATAGTCCTACCGCATCAAGTTAGCGCTACATAGTTTTGTCACCTATAATAATCAAAATGGGTTCTGAAAATGAAGATCTAAGCAACAGAGAATTACTAGCCGCACTGAATACGAGATTAGGCGAAGTGGAAAATGCTTTGACTGCCAAAATTGCCCACGAAGTTGCCGAAATAAAGAGTGAGGTTGAAGATATAGAAGGTAACTGCTCCGAATTGTCTAGCCAATTAAAATTCATAGATCGATCCATGCAGAAAAGAAACCTTATTGTATATGGTATACAGGAAAACTCAGATGGTCCCCTGGAATCTGTAGTTCTACACATCTTCGAAACTATCCTTAAGATGAAACCAGACGATGCAGATATAGAGGAGGTTTTTAGGATTGGTAAGCGAGCTGAAGGCCGTTCCCGTCCTGTAAAGGTGAAAATGGCTAATTTAAAAAAAAAAGCTTTTCATTTTAAAGGACGCCCATAAACTAGAAGGTTCTCAGTATGCAATTTCAAAAGACTTAGATAGCGAAGAAAGATCAATTCAAGAGGTCTTACTTCGACATAGATATGAAGCGAAACAAAAGGGCCACAACGTTCAGATGAAACGAAACGCATTAGTCATAGATGGTGAAGTTTTTGATGTCAAGGCACTACAACAAATGGAAATCGACAATGGAACCGAAAACAAAAATACGTCAAAGATACCTCCAAACTCGCGCAGCACACAAAACAAAAATTTCGCAAGAAATAACATAGCCCCTGCACATACATTAAACAATACAGCATCTTGCAATATAGGCAAACCAGCTCTTCTGGCCACAAGCACTGCTACATCCAGCAAATCAGGGTCTTCAAACGAAGTTTTATCCAACAACGAGACAGAGGTTAACAAGAATGAAGGTCAAAATGAAATCACCCCAACAGCCAAAAGAGGGCGCTATAATTTTCGCAAATAAACAGAGATTCTCGATACTGCATCAAAACATCCAGTCTCTAAAGAGTAAATTTTTAGAATTAAGTATATTGTTTTGTCTGAAAACCCAGCGGATGTTGTATGTCTCTCTGAGCACTGGCTCAATGAAAACGAAGTTACCTTTTGTAATATTGACAACTATAAACTTATATCTTCCTTTTGTAGAAAACAATTCATACACGGGGGTACCTGTATCTTTACAAGGAATCACATTGAGTGTAAAAACATTAATACATACAATCATTTGATAGTTGAAAAAGAGTTCGAGTTTTCTGCAGCAAGAGTAGGTAATTCTGTTTTCATTATTTGTATCTACAGGTCTCCAAAGGGAAGTATTCGCAATTTTCTGAACCATTTGGAAAGCTTGTTATCGGAAGTATTTCGAACTGGAAGCGAGAGTGTGTGGTGATTTTAATTTAAATTTTCCTAGTGCCATCTACTGAAAGGCAACTAATACTGTCACTAGTCGAGTCCTTTAATATGCATCAGACTGTAACCCAACCCACACGAGGTCGAAACTGCCTTGACAATATTTTTACCAATATAGATGAGTCTGATGTAGACTTGAAGTACAGTTGCCTTTCGGACCACGAGGTTGCACAAATATTGCATATAAAAATGGACTCATGTAATAAAGTAGAGCAATATTTTGAATTTAAGCGTTTTGTTACTAAAGGGCGTGAAGAGAATTTCATAAGCTCACTCAATCAAATGAATTGGGACGTAACGTTTAGCCAAACTGAATGTGTTGAGTCAAAGTTTAGAATATTTTCTGACGTCTTGATTTCTCTTTACGAACTAAATTTTCCCCTAAGAAAGGTAAGAGATAAGAATCCAACAAAAAATTGGACAACTCTTGGAATAAGAACTTCCTGCAGAACCAAACCAAATTACTGCTTCAATGCAAATTTGATGACAACATTGAATTGCACAACCATACAAAAATGTATTGCAAAATTTTAAGAAAAACAGTTGATTTAGCTAAAAAAAAATCACTACAAGAAAGAAATATATTCAGCAAAAAATAAAAAGTAGAAAGTTTGGCAAATAATTAAATCTGAAACAAACAATATAAACCTAAAAAACATGAGATCCAAGAACTGGTCGTCGATAATGAGAAAATTAAACATCCCGAAGCCTTGGTCAATCATTTTAATTCTTATTTCCTAAATTTGGTTACTCCTCGTGACATTTCTGCCCAGAAAAAAACAGAAATCTTGAGTAAAGTTACGTGTCAGAACAATTCAATCTTCCTGTCTCCGACAGATGAATACGAAATTGAAAGAATCATATCACAAGTCAAGTCCAAAACCTCCTGCGGCTTTGATCTCATATCATCTATATTACTGAAAAAACTTTCGCCCGTGCTGTCAAGTGTTTTAGCCTATTTATTCAACTTAAGCCTCGAAACCGGAGTTTTTCCAGATGTTTTTAAACTGGCCCAAGTCATTCCTTTATACAAAAATAAGGGCGAAAAAAAATGTATGTCAAATTATAGACATATATTCCTGTTGTCCAGCATTCCAAAGATATTAGAGAAAATACTTTACCTACGGTTAATGTCCGTCCTAAACACAAACAATATTTTGAGTAAGGATCAGTATGGGTTTTTACCGGAAAAATCTACAACCGAGGCTGTTTTTGACTTGACGAAAGATGTATTAATGGCTCTTGACTGTGGTCTCTCTGTGACTGGATTGTCTTGCGATTTTGAAAAGGCATTTGATAGTGTGAACCACCATATTTTGGCTCTGAAGTTGGAGCAACTTGGGATCCGAGGAGGTCGCAGGGAACTGGTTCAGTAGCTATCTAACAGGCAGAAGGCAGGTGACAGTCTTGAAGGGCAGTGCTGGGGATTCAGTTCAGGTCTCTCGAGAAGGCATATTGGTCAGCGGAGTCCCTCAGGGTTCTGTTTTGGGTCCCCTTCTCTTAATATACATAAATGATTTACCGCTGTGTGTTCGTTCCAGTAAGTGCATGATGTTCGCGGATGACACATTCTTTTTGGCAGTCGCGGACAATCAAGTGGTAGTAGAGAGAAGGACCCAAAGCATAATCAACGATGTAAAGGATTGGTGTTCCTATAACCAAATCAAAATAAATATAGATAAAACCGTAGCTATTAGATTTAGCTTGTCTAATAGAAACACTGCTGATGTCATCCATAACACAAACTCTATTCAGTTTGTTAACTCTACGAAACGCTTAGGTTTCTACATTGACGATCATATTAAATGGACTATGCACATTGAAACACAAAATCGCAAACTAAGTAGATCGTGCTATTGTCTTAAAGTGTTGCCAGTTAAAGGGTTGGATCTCGATTTGTTAAAAACAGTTTACTATGCAAACTTTCATTCAGTGCTGGGCTATGGTATCATGTTGTGGGGTAATGCAAGCGCTAGTCAATCAACATTTATCATTCAGAAGCGAGCCATTCGAACAATGTTAAGAATGAAACCTACTGAGACCTGTAAACCCAGATTTATACAGTTAAATATTTTAACCTTGCCTTCCTTGTATATTTTTGCTAGCACGAAATTCGTACATCAGAACAAACATAAATTCACGTTTTTCGAATCAAATACCAGACAGGCCTAAAATACTATAAGCCTGGAGAGACATTAAACAGCAGCATATCAAAAAAAATCTTTCTATATGTGTGGTAAACTTTACAATACACTTCCGAATCAGTATAAAGAACTCTCTCTGAACAAGTTTATAAATAAACTGAAAAAATTATTGATATCTAAAGTTTACTATACTGTAGACGAATTCTTAACTGATAATTTTAGTTATTAAGTTGTTGATAATCTTAGATAAATATGAATTTGTTATATTCTTCTCTCTACAACCTATCTATAATTTTTGCTCTGTTATACTTTCTTGCTTTTTCCTTGTATAGTTAATTTATTGGTAGGTGGTAGGTTTCACTCAATGATTTGTTAAAAGGTA